TCAGCATCCCCCTGGCTCGTTGGCTCTCCGTCTCCGCCTCGGACTCCTCCACCACCTGCTCCGCCGCCGTTGGTCGGCCCCCTGGAGTCGGCGACCATTCCTCCATGGCTCCTCCCTCCATCGGCTCCACCGTGGGTCGACATTATGGCTTTGGCCTGGGTCCTGCTTGGCTCCAGGATTAAAGACTGTTTCGTTTATTCCTCGTCTCCATCATTCCTCGCCATCACAGATTGTGACATTATAAGAATTAATTACTTCCTATTGTGATTAATTAGTAATTAATTAATCGTAATTAATTAACACACAGGGAGGTTGTTATAATGGCTAATAATTTTAAGGTATACAGAAACTGGCCTAAAACAAACCTACCCTAAAAAGTATTTTGCTAAAAAGCGTGAACCCCATATCAAAGGCCTATCACTGCAGCAGTCCACATCACTCCTTTTGCAGTCGAGCTGTTGCATGAGCTCCGCCTTTTTAATCGTGTCAAGGTAAGTACATTCGAGAAAAAAATCCAAACCCCTGCGTTCTGTAAAATCCCAGATGTTGAGTGTAGAACATTCTGTGCTGGATGCTCTCGGTTAAAGTGTTTGGAGAGGCAGACAGTTTTGTACTCTGCTTCGCTGCTTTTCCATTTTTGAATACGAGTATGAATATGCGCTAGACTGACTTTGGACAGTTGCGTTTGCGTCTTTTGTTGGGTCTTGCGCAACTTACTCCCTACTTATTGAACGCGATGTCAAGTTAAACGTTTAAAAACACGTCTTGAGATCTTGCGTTTTTTTTCTACAGCTCGTCTCACGTTTTGTATTGCCACCACGTAGCTCTATAGGAGGCATTATTTGCGTTTTTGTCGCGCTTTTTTTGTCATAATTAAAAGCATGAAAATGACTTTAAACAAATACTTATTTTTGCTCCTCTTGCTGAGTCACCTTTTTTTCTTTTCTTATGCTTTTTTTCTCTCTTTACTTGTTCAGTTTCTGGCAGAGATCCATAATTTCTTCTCTCTCGACCTATCCTTCCTCCAGAATTCTGCTGAATCGTCTCTCATTGTCATTCGTACAGTACACTTCCATTGACCCCACTTCCACCAAGAGACTATCCCCAATTTAATATGACAACCAGTAATTTTTTGTAGTAGTAATAAATGCCCATTATTCAAATTCTTAACTTTTTTTTGGTACTATTATTTAATTTTTATAAGATTAACTTTTTAAATTCAGGCTCTATTAGCTGTTTTTGCCAAACTTTTGCATAAGTGAATATAGAAATGCTACATCCATAGATGATTTAAATATCTCTTATTGGTCGGTCTGCCTGGTCCTCATGGCTTTTGATTAGTCAGTCTGCTTTTCTTCCTGTTTCAGCTTGGCCTTGAGCCACACATGTACTGATTTTCAGTATATGTGTGTGTAAGCGTGTGAATGAGGAAGTGTTTGTGGATGTGTGTGAGAGAGCTTTAGTTTAGTACTGCTGAGTTGCCTGTTATTCCAACCTCACTGTCACAGTCACATGCTCCTTCAGCAAGCCTCTTAGAACTCATCATGAAAACACCAGGTACCAACTTAAGCACGGTGGGTGTTGTAGTTGTTCATTTGTTTGAACTTTATTCCTGAAGTATATTAATAATTAATAACTTTTACACCTTGTTACTTTTGTCCTTTTAGTTGCGTTTGCTTGCATTGTTTGTGTCTGTGTGAGTTATGTGAACGTTGTGTGCTCCAGGATAAACTGTGTGGGTCAGCATGCTCTGCATGTGCAACCATGGTTTCATTGCTAAGCAACCTAACTACCTTACCCTCTAAGCAGGCATCAAGGTCCGGCTAACTGCTAAATTACTGACTTGAGCCAACTAACTGCAAAACAGTGAATATATGTATATACTGTATAATGTTTAGTAAAACATTACTAACAAACACACTAATTCCCTACAAAACCATGGTTTCTTTATGTAAAACATGATTTCTTTGTCAAAGATTTTGCTTCAATGCATCTGTGTTCTGATTATGGAAATTCCTAGACTGTAGGATTTAAGCATTTTGGAGATTTTTTCCATGCTAGAGAATGTAGACACGGCTTAGTGGGGTTTATTAGGCAGCTTTAGGTGTAGAAGAGGATTTACGTTTTGTCAGTGTGTGTGTCTTAAAGAGAAAAAGGACTATTAATACTATTAAATTGTATTAAATTGTTGCTTATTTCCTTCATTTTTGCATTTAGATTACCTTTACCATCATCTAAGGCTCACTTAAAGTTAATCTTTAAAACACTTAAACAACTTAATAACACTGTTAATTGTAATCTTTAGCAAATCTCAAAAATGAATGTCAGCTTTTCATACTGAACATTATAATGTAAATTCACTAGTTGCATTCAAAATAATTTATTTGATTTTTTTAGTAATTTATTTTTAATTCATTTAGACAATTTTAATACTGGCCAAAATAATAATTATTGGCCAAGTTTTTAATATTGGTACATCCCTACCTAGTTGATATGAGGAACTGGGATGGAAATGATTGAAATTGTATTCTTTATAGAAATAGATTTATTAGCTAATTATGTGGTGATGCTTACAGTTTGTTTTCAATACAAATAATATATACATACTGACCAGAAGAAATTTTTTGTCTCTTTTTAGACTCCAATCCTGATTGGATGCTTATCTCAGAATGACAGCAGAAGACTCCGCCTCTGCCGTTGCTATGAGTAACCCTAGCCCTTCCTCCTCTTCTAAGGCCTCCTCTGAGCATCCACAGCACCACAGCGCCATCCCAGAGGGAGTGGCTGGGGCCCCCAATGAAGCTGCCCTTGTGGCCCTGATGGAGCGATCAGGCTATGGTATGGTGCAAGAAAATGGACAACGCAAATATGGGCCACCACCTGGCTGGCAAAGCCCTTCCCCTCCACGTGGCTGCGAAATCTTTGTGGGTAAAATCCCACGTGACGTATACGAGGACGAACTGGTGCCAGTATTTGAGACTGTTGGACGGATCTACGAGATGCGCCTAATGATGGATTTTGATGGGAAGAACCGCGGTTACGCATTCGTCATGTACACGCAGAAGCATGAGGCTAAGCGAGCAGTTCGTGAACTCAATAACTTCGAAATTCGTCCAGGAAGATTGCTAGGTGTGTGCTCTAGTGTAGATAACTGCCGCCTCTTCATTGGTGGAATCCCAAAAACCAAGAAACGTGAAGAGATCCTGGAGGAAGTTTCCAAGGTGACAGAGGGGGTGCTGGATGTGATTGTGTACGCGAGTGCTGCGGATAAGATGAAGAATCGTGGCTTTGCCTTTGTAGAGTATGAGTCGCACCGTGCTGCTGCTATGGCCAGAAGAAAGCTCATGCCAGGGCGAATTCAGGTTAACACCATTTTCCACTGAAACTTTTCACTTCATTATATACTTACAAAAGGAGAATTTTTTGAAGACTCTTCACACAACTATTTTCCATACAACAGAAGTGATATACCACATCTGCTAAGCTCAAAAATACTATAAAAAGGACAAAATACACTATAAAATCATTATAAAAGTATACTTTAAGACTCTTTTTTTTTTATTCCACATCTTCTGAAGTCAGATGATAAATTTGCAAATGGGAATGATCCGATTCCTCGTTCAATGACTCACTGCTTCACTGATTGACTCACTAATTTAGTGAGTGAGTGAGTTGAGACTAGAGAACTGGATCAGTCAGATCCATGAACAAATCATTCTTTTAAGAAGATTCTTTTCAAAAATTGTTTGTTTGAAAATTAAGCTTACTAATTTAATAACAAATAGGACTGATCTGGTTCTGAGTTCACTGACTCGATCCTTCATTGATTGACTGTTTCAGTGATCCTATCACAGCAGTTAACAACTTACTTAATGGGAAGATTTTGATTGGATCGCTCTTATGGTGCTTTTATCATTTTTATTTGCACTTTTTGAAGCTATATAGTATTGTTGCATTGAAAAACAGTTGTGTGAAGATTTTTATAGAAAAAAAATAACAGTATAGGGGTTTGAAATGACATGAGGGTAAATAAAGAGAATTTTCATTTTTAGCTGAACTATTCCTTCATCTATGATATTTAGTGAATACACCTACCTTACTTTAAACCGGTTGTGTGTATATCTCTTTCTCTATGTATACAGCTCTGGGGTCACCAGATTGCAGTTGACTGGGCAGAACCTGAGATCGACGTTGACGAGGACGTAATGGAAACTGTGAAGATTCTGTATGTGCGCAACCTGATGATAGAGACCAGTGAAGATACTCTACGCCAAACCTTCAACCAGTTCAATCCTGGCTGTGTTGAACGTGTCAAAAAAATCAGAGACTACGCCTTTGTTCACTTCGCCAGTCGAGAAGATGCAGTGGTTGCAATGGACAACCTGAACAGCACAGAGATCGAAGGTTCCCGCATCGAAGTAACCCTGGCCAAGCCTGTGGATAAGGAGCAGTACACCCGCTATCAGAAAGCATCGAAGGGAACGGCGGCTGTGACAACTACTGACAACAGCCAACAAAGTTACGTGTATCAGTGTGACCCGTATACACTCGCCTATTACGGCTATCCCTACAGCACACTCATTGGACCCAACCGAGACTACTTCATCAAAGGTTGGACACCTCATTTTTTTCTTTCTACCCTCTAAGATCAAAATTAACAGTGGGGAGAGTGATTCTTAATTAAAAAAAAGATCCTTTATGTACTTTATGTACTCAAGAAATGCAATACCATTTGATAAAATCAGAATTACCTGAAAGCATTCGTAACAATTGATTTTTCTTGATGACTTTGAGTATTATGCAGTTAAACGTATTTACATTTACACAAGTAATCAGACTTGATCTGTACAAACAAATGTAGGGGATGAATTACAATAAATGTTAAAATTATATCTTCTTTAACCCAGAACTTTCATATGGCTACCACCTTTAAAACAGTAGTTCTCAACTGGTGAAAAAAAAATTCCAATGCTAAAAAATGCAAAAAATCCTGAAAATCAAAACCCATGAGCTACACAAAGTAAAATATGACCCATTCAGGGGGTGTAAGGGGTGCTGTAATTGCACTTCATTACCAGTTACACTGAAGCCAAGCCAAGTGTACTTTTTAACACTTATGTACAATTAAAAGGGGAAATTTGTACTTTCATCAAGTATGTTTTGTCACAATAGAGTACTCATACTCATGGTTTGGTTGGACACATGTTGAAATTGGCTTCAATTTCAAGAGACTTTTAGAACCCAAAATCACTTTTCCTATTCAGCCTTGTCATGTTAATAATTTTGCATATTAGTTCATGGTCATTTTAAAGATTTTTAATTTTGAGGAAATAAACAGTTTTGGTACTGTGGATGCTACTTGGTATCTAATATAAAATCCAGAAACAAAACCATTTGAGAACTGCTGTTTTAAAACATACATCCCAAAACAAGAAGCTCTGCCCTGTTTGTTGCTAATCACATTTCTAGTATGGCCACTAGATGGCATGCATTTTGAGATTGTTTTGGGCAGAAGAGCTGAGATCCCCAAAATGTATGATACTGAAACTAATGATGGGAATCTGGTATTATTACATTTCCTAACCCATAATCATCAATTACAAATGCTTGTGGTTTTGTAACAACTGAGATCATTTTTTCTCTTTCAAATTGAACAAAGAATTGTGATTGCGTATTCAATCGGAGACGTATTTGGTCATCTACTATCTGATTAAAACAGAACTTTATCTTTACTTTTAATTTCAACTTTGCTCAAACACCACCACTCCCATCTCAAAGAATGGAGGGAAATTGCAAATATCTCAAGAGGCGTTCACACTGACAGCAGTTTTAAATTAGAATGCCGAAGAGTGATAGTACCACACCCCTATCTCGATCACAAAGTCATCAGTGCTAGCAAACCTTTTTAGCAAATACATGTAACTAGAATCGAAAGCTGACAGAGATAGCTAATGACTTTATTTCAATCGTCTGCTTAACGCCATGCAATGGGGTTACCAGTACTAATATATATATATATATATATATATATATA